TGTCAGGCCAAGGGGGAATGGCTTGAAACTAACGGGGGGTAGATTTAGACTAGATAGAAGGAAGAAATTTTTTATTATGAGAGCCGTGAGGCACTGTCCCAGGTTGCCCAGAGAGGTGGTGGATGCCCCATCCCTGGAAACATTCCAGGTCAGGCTGGACGGGGCTCTGGGCAACCTGATCTAGTTGAAGATGTCCCTGCTCATTGCAGGGGGGTTGGACTAGATGGCCTTTAGAGGTCCCTTCCAACCCAAACTATTCTGATTCTAAGATAACCGGGAAAGGCTGAAGCTACCAAGTAAAATTCTGAAAGATTCCTCAGGCCCTTGATGCCAGACAATGTGGTGATCCGGAAGATCAGAATTAACTTCCGTCTCAGCATTTCTAGGGAGTAGTAGCCTCAAGCTTCCAGCACCTCAAGATTTAAAAGATTAAGATCACATTTCCTGGACTAGCGTCACAGTAACAGATGAATTCAGGACAGCATCTGGGCTACCTGAATCACTCCATATATGAAACCAGCCCTGGCAAACAAAGTGGTGCCTAATCATACAGTTCATAAAGTTATTTTATCTGATACTCTGCATTAGAAGAAATCGGAAGTGATAAAAGAAAACAAAAGCATTTCCTCTGTGTGAATAACAAGACTGTAGATATATGGGAACTCTCTTACTGAAGACGTATCCAGGAGCAGCTAGTCCATAAACGCAAGTAATCTGTGCTCAGGAGCATCGTAGCAAGAGCAACGGTTTAGGAAGAAGGAGGAGTAGAAAGAGGGATGACAACAACAAATATTTTAGCTCTAAGTGACAGTTACTCCAAATGCAGCACCGTGTGCTTTTATGTTGAAAGTGCATCTACCTATACAGAGAGTTATTCAAGAGTAGCTCAAGAAACAGGTGAGTATTGGCCAGGAACACAGACAAAACCTAACAGTGTCAGGAGGAGGACAAAGTGAAGAGCGCAAGATGATGCAAGAATACAGTAAGAGACCATAGTAAAACAAGGGCACCAAAATTTATCCATCTTCGAAGAAGACGGACATTGATGAAGAGAAGCAGGTTTAGCATAGTGACAGATTTAGTGAAAGAGGAGGAATATTTGGCTGCAACAACAGACTTAAAGGTAGAAAAAGTAGGTTTTAGTACAAGCAGTTTTCAGGATTCACCAGCAACCAAAAAGAATCTCAGAGAGGAAAGAATATTTTGAAAGCATTTCACCTACAGTCTTGCTTGATATAAATGGAAAGACTTGGCAAAAGTTATTTTAAATACCAAAAACCCACCACCATTTTAATTAAACAGTACACCCTCCTCCCAATGCAACTGCTACAGAAATTGGAACTACTCGGATTCATTAATAAAGCATAGACTGATAAAGCATGCAAGAGACCAGTACTGTCAAAAGCCCGCTCAATAAAAAGATGTTTCAAGAAAAGCTCAGCTAACTGGCTTGAAAAACACAAGTGTTGTTTACAGATTATTATATACATATCCAAATACATACCAACAGCAAATGAAGCGAGCGCAGATCTTTAGTGAAGTGAAAAAGGTTCTGCAGCACGTCTTGCACAGTTTTATCCTCTGAGAGATGCTAAAAAAAAAATTAATCACCTCAGCAAATCATTTCATACTCACCTGAAAAAATAAGTTAGCTAACTTTCAGAAAGAGCTCAGCTTACGCTTGACAATACAATTCTTCACGTCTAACCTTAACTTTCTGGTCTTTTTTGTGGCACTTAAGATTTTTATCTCCAGACTTCAATAAGCAAAGATTCTCTATCACAATTTGATTTATTCCATATCAAACTCAAATAGCGAGAGGAAATACTAATCTTCAGTAAAGGCTCTACACTTACAAACTGGTCTTACTGTAGAAGTTTACTAAAACCAAGTATAAAGAGCTTTAAATACCTGAACATTATTATTCCATTTTTGTGCAAAAGACTCATCAGGAAATTCAGCAGGAAGAGAGAGCTGTTCCTTGAATATCCTAATGTATTGTTTAAAATCAAAGGAATTCATCAGATATATCTGTCGGTGAGAGAATCTTGATTTTACTCTCTTCTCCAAGAGCTCCAGGATATCCTTGTTAAAAAAAGCAAGAATAATTAAAAAAAGCAGACGCATTTAGCCTATTCTTTGCTACAGTTAAAAGTACAAGAGAAAACACCAAAGTAAATCGTGTTTAAAAAAAAAAGAATTATTAAATTCTCGGGCTTAAAATGTTCTAACAAGACCTTTGCTAATTATTATAATTGATGTGCCTTGAAATGCTTAACAACTAGCCATTTACCCAAATCATGTGATGCGCGACATCATAGGGGATAATTAGTTGCTAGGATACCCAGCAAAATTTCTCCATAGATTATGTAAATATTTCAGTTACTTAAGTCTGCATTCAAGATGTTTCAGCCTATCACAGCTCTAGACAAGTTGTCTATTTAGTAGATATGTAGGTTGGCAGCTGTCATTTCACATGCCTTTTGTCAGACTGAAAGAATCCAGCTTAAAAAAAAAAACTTGAGAGCCAATATTTATCTTCCGAGATTGTCACACAGAACTAAGCAAGTCTGCCATCAAGTTGTTGGTTGAAGAGAATAGAGAAAAGCGTACTTTGCTCAGAACACGTAGCAATAGACTGGCATCAGAAAGAAGCCATGGGATGCACCCGTTTAGAGAAACACAGTACTATTCCCCTACCTCATACCGGGACAGAATGACTACACCCCTAGTTTCTAGGAACTTTGGGTGGGCCTTTTCGGTTTTTAAGGGTTTGTTGCGTGTTGGTTTTGGTGTTTTGACTTGCACTAAAAAAGGCTTTAAGGATACTGAAATTACTCACCAAAAAGAGCGCGATAAGAATAAATAGAGAGCCAATAGTGCAAAATATAAAGACCCCTTTCGATTTAGAAGTCAACAGGGCAACAGGGGCCAGTGATTTGAAAAAAAAAAAAAAAACAACAAGAAGGAACAGCTATCACCACAACCATGATACAGCTGCTGAAGACTCTACCTTCATTACATTCAAAAGCAGAGCAATACAGGGTTCTAAATAATGGGTGATGAGGATACCAGACTCGCGGCAGTAAGGAAGCAAAAGATTGTAATTTACTAAATCAGCTGCTAATTATTCTATTAACTTCCAGAAATTTGCCTAGCTAAATATCACCTAAACCAAATCAACCCCAGATTCGGGCTTCGATGAATTATTTTGATTATTATTCTTCTTGTCATAACCCGGCTATCTTCATCACCAATCCAGTTTATTGAGAAAAACAGTATAATTTTTATAAAGTATCAGCTTCCATAGTGTTAGAAAGTAATTATTTCACAGTATACACATAATCTGTTCACAGTTCCCTACAATGTCATTGTAAAAAAATCACAGCAAGTTTAACATGGATCCTAAATCTATTTTGAACATGCTAATACTATAGCAAAAATGCTCTACTGAAGTGTTTGCTTAAAAAAAAAAAAATTCCTTGTCCTCAGAACAATGATTTAAACACTGTAGGTTAATACAAGTCTGTTCTTGCCAACTGCTGACCAAGAAACTGAAATGCCCAGGAACCTCTCCAAAGAGTGAACGACAGTATAATATTAAACGGCCACGTGGATAAATATGGCTCTTCTGCGGTAAAATAGGACAACAGTCTTGTGTCTCCTTAGAAATGTAAACCTGCTCCTTTAGCAGTAAAACTGAAGGCTTTGCAGTTTTTTGGCCATCATCGTTTGCTCTCAGCACAAATTAAATTTTTTTTATCCCCCACCCCCACCCCCCTTCCCAATTCGAAAGTCAGAAAAATGGATAATTGAGAAAAGTCTCTCAGCAAATTAAGTAAGGTTCCAGGAGAGGAGAAAACATTCCAACGTCTCTCAGCAAATTAAGGTTCCAGGAGAGGAGAAAACATTCCAACTGAGACAAAAGTCTCTTTAAAACAGCTAAAAACTTTGAACAAGAAAGTGCAATTTCTTACCTGTCTACATGTAAGTCCAATAACTGTTACTGGAGTCTGTGCTGACTGGGATATATCAAAGAGGTTATAGAGCAGCGTCTGATTCTTGTGATGAACAAACAAGTCAAATTCATCCAGTATAAACAAGACTGGACAACTGCTAGTTCGATCTCCTGAGATAGCAATTTTAAAAGTTACTATATGGTAACATCATCATCAGACTTCTACCTCTACAGCTTTCACATTTTCTGGTTTTAACAATTTACATATTTTCTTTTAGCTTTTCACTAAGCCCTCCTTTTCACATATGTACTGCTACAACAGCAAAAAGAAAAAGACACTGAAAAATTGGTGAGGTTTTGTGGTATTCTGCCAAGCACCATTTCTGGTTGCAGGGGAAGACAGACCTCTATGGCAAATTTTTTAAAAAACCACTACTTTTAATAGCTTCAATCTGGATAAAATAATCTGTCCTGCATAGCTGACCATCGCATGCAAGCCTTTACAGCCTCAGTTATGTTAGGTATATGTTTGTTTAGTATTACGTATTTTTTTACATCATTTTGTAACCATGACACATTCTTGGGCTAGATTTCTTCACACCGCTTGTACAAGTAGATGAAGAAATACGTATATGCTAACTTTTCAGTCAAGTGACAAACACACACACACAGTTTCAGAACAGGGGCTACTAGAGTTTACCTTTCCTTAAAGCTTCAAGAAGGAACGCAAGATTTTCAGCAAAACTGCCCTACACAGAGAAGAAAAAAGTTTCACAATAAATTTTCAATGTCGTTCTCAGAATTGTGTAACTACATCAAGTTCAGGCATGTAACGAAACCCATTTCCTTCTAAAACCCTGCTTTCAAAACCAGTGCATAGTCAAAAATTTACAATGTTACTTCATGTTGTATAATCATAACCTCTTCAGGACACAAAAACTGCTAGTTAACTCTACATTGATCCACTTTTTTTTTCCAGCCTGAAAACCCCAAACTAATTGCCTCATACAGGCAAAAATTAGTGATCAGAAGAACGTCTACAATAAGCTAAATTTACAAGTAGCTTTATCTCTCCTTAAATAGCTATTGCATACTCATTTTCCATCCACACACATGCAAAAACTGCCACCTAATGTGTTCCACTGAGAATGATAAGTATGTAGTTTTTTAATTTGCAACCTTATTAGATAGATGAAAACATCAAACATTCACGACAGAAAACAATGAATTGCTACGACTGTCCTGCTTCAGTTGCACACACATTTCCACCCTCTGAAGCACACAAGTTGTGAGATGGGAAATAACTACAACTGAAGACCCCAAGCCCTATCAAAGGCGGCAGAAAAGCCAATTCACTCTCTGAATGTGAGTTGCAGAAGCTAAGAAAGGAAAAGGTTATATGGACAGAAGTAAGGACATTCCTGCAAATCACTATGTTTCCATGCCTGTGTGCAGCCGAAGGGATTAGATGGCTAAGAGTTTAACGGAGTACTCCACAATAACTTAACGGGGAAAATTATAGGGGAATTAAGCATATTTAAGTCCAGTTTTGCCTCCAGCATTTTGGTAGTGGAACTGTAGACCTTGAAAGGTTGTTCCGGTTCTCTGTTGAAAAGACAACTCATTCAAACCGCTATGCTGAAATTAACTACTTGCCATTTCCTTTTATTACTGCAGCTGTATTTGGGAAAATTTTAGCTCAGCACCAGAAAGGGTTTTCCATTCTCTGTATCTAAAATCATTTGGGATAAGTAGGAAACCAAAGCACAGTCCAAGCACCAAGCACTTCCAAAGGGTAATAAAGCCTAATAACCACAATCTACACTTCATCTTGTATTCCACACCACCTCTAACCTAGTTCTGTGGTTTCTCTTAACTTAAGTAGTAACACCTTACCTCTTTGGAAGCTTTCCAAACGCAACTGATGAAAATAAACCTCATCTATTGAGATTTCACCTTTCTCCCCTCTCACAATTCTGCTTTAGCCACTTGGATCGCTATAACGCATGACTCACAACTATGTAAACTCTGCCAATCTCAAAGGCCCTGCCTGGGAGCAAAGGAGGAGATGATGCTCAGAAGGACCTTCTGTCGTACCAGAAGATGGCCTCTCAAGAACACTCACTGAATAACAGGCAACAGCCAGGGCAGTTCAGATCACTACCCCAACTTATTTCACACTCAAATGAGTGAAATTTAATCTGAAACACTTCAGTTATTCTCTTTATTACTGACTTTAGTTCTAATGTAAATGAGTTTCTTATCTTTGAGAAAAGGTCAATAGAAGCAAATGTTTTAATAGAAATTCTATGCAAAATGAAAGGCTCTAAGAAGCCTGGATAGATTTCCCTATGAATTAGAAAAGGTTGCAAATATACTAAAGATACTGCTTTTTGGCTGGTTAACTTGCTTACTCTTTGTCTTGAAATGTTAAAGCTGATGTTTCCAAAATACTCTACCCTTCGGAATGCCTAATGTTTGTTTCATTTAGAGGCTTGAAGTAGATGTTAAGAGAGCCTTTCCGTTCTTCCTCCTTCTCTAAGTCAAAGTTGATGTTTTTTGAAAAAGTATCAGGACACATTAATATTGCTCAACTAGCAAAATGTAACGTTCAGCACTTGTGTAGAACATAAGTATCTGTTGGCATGCCTGAAGTGTTTGTAAACCAGGGTCTTCACAGGTAAATGTTGCCACAGTTCACTACTGTTATCAATTATTAAATATTTTAAAAGAGAAAGCTTTGTGAAGACTGAGCCAGCCATCACAATTTTGCTAATAAACTCTCAAAGCCCATTCAGTCTCAACAAGGTGCATCCTATAAAGCTAGTTTTCCAGGCAAGGATTTTTGAGGGAGATAAGCGAAGAGTATAATAAAGGTGATACTTACAAAAACTTTATCCCCAACCACATTTTCCAGGTGCAACTGTCTGATGATCTCCTTCAGGGCCACTTTATCATTAGTCTGCAGAAGCCCTGAAAGAAAATGATTTTTCAGGAAGAACTGGCAATCCTCCTTCACTCCAAGAGGCCACATCTACAGCCACTAGAAACTCATCCAGAAGCTTCTCCCCATTTCCAGCCTTACAAAGCTATGTCTTTTTATAAATTAAGACTAGACAGTAATTTTCCATATGTAATAAGAAGTTACTTAAAACAATTGAAAGTCTCAACTGAACTGATTTTTAACATTTTGAAAAGTCATTAAAAGCACAAAAGTCCTCTTTATATAGAGAGAGACAAAGAAAGGCATTTTGGAGCTCACAGACAAATGTGTCCGTAATTGCGGCTAGATTACAATTGCTGAAACCAAAATTTTTGTTCAGTACATACAATATATAGCAACTGAATATAACATAACATTTGAGTAACGCTGTATTACTTGCCATTCAGATGAACTTCCAAGAGGTTCTCTCTAACTCGTTTCATTTCTGTGAGCTCTTTTAAGACATGATTTAATAACTAGGAAAAAAAATATGTAATTTCTTTGTAAGAAGGTTAATGTATTAACAGTAAGAAAAGTGTACAAACAGGTATTATCAGATAGGAAACAGTATGTACAGTTTCATTAGGTAACAATGTTTTTGAGTATTTTCAAGACTAAAATACTAAAATGACAACTTCGCATTCACTATCATGACTGTAGCAATTACATTTGTTCATCCTGCTGAATTAGTAGGGAAAGAAATATAAAAATGCCTGCGGTATTTTAGTCACTCATTTTTGGGGTAATATCTAGGGCTTTTGCGTTAATCAAAAAAAGCTTTACGAGTTTGAGATGCGAGAGGATTTGTCTCTTGAGTTAGGATAGTATTTGGCTTCATTGCTTCATCAGGTGCTGTAGAACAAAAATCTTTACTTTAAATCTTTAAAGACACTATGCTTATTCTTTTCCTCTTGAAGTTAGGAAGCATGAGACAAAATTAAATTGCACATAATTACATCAACTCCTGCTTATAAAACTTAGGGGTCCCAAATTTACAGTCCATCAAGAACTTGTTCTTGGTAAAAGTCATAAGGAACTTGCGTTAAAATACATGTAAGTAGATTAAATGTTAACTCTTCATTCACTTGCTACTTTGCTTTTGCTTCCTCAGCTGAGAATTTGCAGCTCCCATCTACGTGTATGCATGCATACATACACGCTTATATACACGCATACAATTTTCTTGTCTCCAGCAGTCTTTTTTGAGAACTAACATCTTTCACTCGATGTAAAATAAGAAAATCATTCATTTGGCATACATGATTTGCTTATTTATATTCTGGCAAGAAGGATCACAAATTTTCATCTTTGCTATCCTTATGTAAAAGGTTTGGAAGAAAATTTAAACTTTAATTAAATAATAAAAATAGTTTGAGTTTTGGTGATGGGGGGCACGTGGTGTTTGAGGGATCTGTCTCTTGTGAGTTTTTTTAAAACTTTCACATTTACTCCAATTTGCTTGCAGTATAGAGCTCATCTATACTTTTCTATTGATATTGTATTTGGAAGCAGATACAGTGAGACTCCTACTACAGGTGCCAACATTTGTGGTGGATACTTGGAACAAAAGAAGCTCATTCCCTTGGTTTCTCAAGTTTATGCCCAATAAGCAGATGCCATCCATTCTGGCTAGCCCCTTGTCCCACAGTCTCAGTTGTACCTTGAAAGTCTACATTGCAAATACAAGAAAATCTAAAAACTATTTTCTGCGCTATGAGAGTGCTTGTTGCTTACTTACAAATCCAAAAATCTAATAAAGGAAAAATAAACTCCAGTTCGAGACTAGCAGGAAGTACATAGGTGGAGGAAACCTTATTCGTCACTGGTTTATCAACTCTTTCCCCACCACCACTCCATAGTATTTTGGCAATTATCCTTCTTCTGAAGCGCCATGGGAACAGAAGAAGGTAACAATACTGACTGTTTTTGAAATGGAAAACAAGCAAGCTATCAACAAATTGGCAGAATGATTGGTGTCAGCTGTATCATGGATAAGTTTACCATCTATTAATTTCTTTCTATTCAACTGTATTTAAAAGCTTGGGAAGACTCCTGAAGTAATTTTTGTAGTTTTTCAATCTTTAATACTTTTTGCAGTAACAGCCAACCTATTTATCACATTATATACTCATGTAAACATAAAAGACTTAAGTGTTTGCATAATATTAAAGTATATAACAGGTAAGCTAGATGTCATCCCTTCACATGCCTCAACTAAAAAGAGTTCCTTTAAAATACAAAACCTACACTTGTAAACCAGAACTACCATACAACATTCCACCTCCTAGCAATTTAGGTAACAATATTCTCTGACACGTTTAGAACAGTATTAAGATACCTTACCATTCTCTACATATAAACAGCTATGTAGAAATCCACCCCTTAGGCTACTCCTTTTACAGTTTTTGGATCTTTTCAGTCATTTTTACAGCGGAGGCCCAATAGCAATAGCAGGTTAACTTTTAAAGAGTAAGCAAAACGTGACTTTAGTTGCAAAGATGAACTCCTCTGTGGCAAGAGCCATTACAGAATTGTAACTGGAGAAATGCTGAAAGAAGGCAGAATCCATGATGTAGTCAGATCACCGAACTACAAATGCAACTTGTTCTGATAAAATTATTTCCATTTTACATGATTTGGGTACCTGTAGCATGTCACGAAACCTGGTGAAGACAGGCAAAGAATTCCAAAACCATGCATACTTCTGCAAGTCATCGTGAGGGATGGACAGGTACATGTTTCTGTCAGCTGCACATGAAGCTATTCTATTTTACAAAATCACTAGGAACTCAGCATTTGAAAAATTTCAGAAGATTGTTAGGGAACCAATTTCTCCATATTGTTATTCGACAGAATTAGCTCACAGGAAGTCCTAGAATGTTTCGGAATTCTATGTAAACAATTAGCAATTCTCTCTTCAAAAACAGAGATGAAAATTTAGCTCCAAAAGCTCCCAGGACTTCGGGGAGGTTATCTACGTCATGCTTAATTTGACCTTGTATAAACTTTTAATACATGTGTATACCGCAGTCTTTCCTGATCCTCGGGGTCCGATAATGAGGGCAGAATTACTTTCTCCATGAACTGTAGTTCTTTTCAGCAGTTCCAGCAGGTGTCTGTGTTGACAACAGCAATAGGTTAAAAACTTCAAACCGGACAACATTCAGTGAAACTATGGAAAATTCAAAGAATCTTTAGAACGTAAGAGAAAACTTGATACATTTCAGCCTGCTCTCAGAGCCAACACTCAGGGCGTGCAAAATGTAATACAATAAAGTACAAAGAGCTGAGTGATCAGCTCTCTTAAAATACTTTAAAATATTAAAACATGCAGAAGTCAGGAGTATCACTAATTCATAAAGTTCTACAACTCTCCACCATGAAAGGACAGACTTCAATAATTATTTCTTTCTTTAAAAAAAAAACATACCCAAAACAGATTGCTTTCTGTGATACCACTACAGTTCACGAAAAAGGAAGACTGGCAAACATACTGAAGGAAAACCTTGACACCAGTAAAAATGAATACTCTAGTGGAATATATGCATTTTGAGAATCTTCATAAAACTGATTATATGCTAAATTTAGGCATTCAAAGCTTGTGAACAGTAACAGCAATACTGAACTTCAAGTTCATATTCTATTCCCGCTCAAAAGAAGGAACAAAGAACAACTCTAAGTTATCTTCAGATAGACTTATCATCTAGTACCACATTTAAAGTACTTATAAAAACTACTGACACTTCCAATTCCCAAATGTTTACAAATGCAAACATTTAATATGCCTTTTTTTTTTTTATTAGAATATTGACATCATGCAATTGCTTCTAAAGGAGCAATAGAGTCATCGTGGAACAGCTGTAGCAAACGCATGTGGTTTTGTTCATTATTTGAGAGCTAACTATAACCAAGAGTTATAGTTACATACATCTTGGGAAAGAAAAACTAAGAGCTGGGAAGTTCATTGTGTTTTCTCTCCAGTATAATTGATCAACAGTGGCATATTAAGTAGAATAGTCTGTAAACTGTTTTTCAGAATTCCAGTATAAAGAGGGGAGGCTTGTTTTGTAGAACACTAACATCATAGAAATACATTTTCTCACAACGATAAACATGTCTATGTGAGCTCTGCATGTATATTACACTACACTTTTTTAATAACAGAAATGTTATTTTCCTTCCTGTAAGGGAAAAGAAACTAATGCTCATACCAGGTGATTCAACTTGCATCAAATTACTTGTGGAAAAATTGATTGTTTAAAACAAGTTCTTTAGATACGTGTTTGTTATTTTCAGAATTTGACCTGCATCTGTAAAAGGATTACTATTAGGATAGTATTATTGTCTATATTATTGGGACCGGTCTTGTTCAATATCTTGATCAATGATCTGGATGAGGGGATCGAGTGCACCCTCAGTAAGTTTGCAGACGACACCAAGTTAGGCGGGAGTGTTGATCTGCTCAAGGGTAGGAAGGCTCTGCAGAGGGACCTGGACAGGCTGGATCGATGGGCCAAGGCCAACTG